CTATAAAGTCATCCGTAATGAAAATATACAGTCCTGAAACAACTCACTGCTTTCAGACGAGACTGTTACAAGGAAGAGAAATCTATATGTACAGGTTCGTATATCAATTAGGAAAAAATAACGAGTTATTTTCATTTTTTAATTCGTATATATGAATTAATCTCTCGTGTTTCGTTTGTTCTATGTAGGGATAATGCGTTTTGCGAGAGTAATTGCCAATATATATATAACGCAATTATGACTCGCAAATACTATAAGAAAATTAAGTTGTGGACCGTGTAACTCTGATTCTCAAATACTACAAGAAAATTGCGGGAGTAATTGCCAATATAATGCAATTCTCACTCGCAAATACTATAAGAAAATTATGTTTGACGGCCATGCAGCTCGGATTCGCAAATACTTCAAGAACATTATGAAGGCATATAGGAATTTGGATAAAAACCGCGTTAAATTTACAATGGAAGCCATTCACAAGACCATTATAGCTCCGGCACGACCACTTGAAGATCGACCGGTTAATTTCTTATTAATGTACTATTTTTTCTATTCAATTAAGTTTTTTCCCCCTTTTGCATTTTTTTTTTTTTTTAACTCATGAGACTGTATATATACATTTGGTTAAGTAAAAGTTCATTTTCTGTAGTGATCAAAGTCATTTTGAAACACTTTCCTCGTATTTTTTAATCAAGCGAAAAATATTATTGTTAGGTGATGGTGTTCTGAGGAATGAGAAATATTGTAGGAAGATCTTTTAAATTATACTATAAGTTTTAACTATACGATCGAATTTATATTTTCTAATTCATAATAAACCTTTTTAAATTTATTAGATGTACTATTTTATAGTTCTGATTCATATTAATTATTTTTTGTAGATTCGAACAAATAAATTTGAAAAGAAAAATTTAATTATTAACTATTCAAGTGACTGGTGAATTTGTTAGGAAAAATTGAACTGTTTTTTGGTAAACATAGCCGTTACTTCAATGCGCTGACTAACTGAAAAACACGAACTGCTTTTGGCTGCATTTACCAAACAAATGGGCCCAAAATAAAGTGTGGTCATTTGTTGATGACAAAAAGTTTAAATTGCACCAAACCACAAGGCACACCTCACGAGTCAAACGTATAAGAATTTTTCTTTTGCATTGTTTTACTGTTGCCATATAAATGAAAAGTTTTCTCTTAAGTACATAGGAACATTTTTTTAATTAAAAAAGGTATATTTATTAATTTCATGGGTGCAAGATTTTCACTTGAAAACAATTTCATGGGTGTAATATTATAATGTGTTTCTACTTTTCAAATAATCGGGTAATCTTGGCTCATTATTCGGGAAGTGTAACTTAAACATGCTATAGTCTTCACTTGTATCTATTGGCTGAGTGGTGAGTGCACATCCCTTATAATTCTCGAATGTATTAAGCCTAAGTGAACTCTGATAACTCGAAGTCCTATTTGACACAATTTTATGTTATGTCACTTGACTTTGATAACTTTTAATTTACTTTCACTCCATAAATAATTAGACTTGAAATCAGGTCCTATTTGGCAAACTTCATGCTTTGTCACTTGACTTTAATAATTTTTAATTTATTTTCAATCCATAAATAATTAGACTTAAAATTATCTATAAATATACTGGATATTTATGACCATTTTTATGATCATTAATGGTGTTTTAATATATTTTCCTATTCTGAACGTGATTTATAAGGAATGAAATTTTTATCTTCTTTTTAATTATAATACATTTTACTAACTTTAATTATAAATTTATTTTAAATGTTAACTTTTGCATTTATTATCAAAATCAATCTTCTCTTATTCATTAGCTTCGATTTGACATTTATATTGTATGATAAAGTAAATAAATAATTATGTTTATATTTATAAATAAAAATTAAATCACTTATTAATTTTAGCTGAAAAAAATAAAATTACTTATAAATTAAATAAATTTAACTACAAAGTTGTTATATAATATAATTTAAAAGTAATAATAATATAAGGTGATTAAGTAGTACATTTGATAGTGTCATTTTAAATATAATTAAATTAACACTACAAGAAAATGATGAAATTCCAACGGAAATATATTTCAATATAATTCCAACGAAAATTCCAATGGATATTTCAATGCTATTATTTCCGTTGGAATAATTCCAACGGAAATTCCAACAAAAATATTCCGTTGGAATGAATTTTTCATTGAAATTTCCGTTGGATTTTGACGATTCCAACGGTAGATTTTCTAACGGTGATGGAAATAAAAATTCCAACGAAAATTGCATATTCCAATGGAAATTCCTAACAAAAATATTCCGTTGGAATGAATTTTTCATTGGAATTTCCGTTGGATTTTGACGATTCTAACGGTAGATTTTCTAACGGTGATGGAAATAAAAATTTCAACGGAAATTGCATATTCCAATGGAAATTCCTACGGTGAAAAGCCGTTGAAAATATAGCCGTTGGAATCATCAAATTCCATCTAAAATTCCAATGAAAAATACATTCCAACGGAAGCTATACCATTGGAATATCCGTTGGAATTTCCATTAGAATATATTACATAGGATTTTCCGTTGGAATATAATAATTTTTTTGTAGTGTAATATATTTTTTATGAAAACATTTAAAATCAAATAATACTTTTTTCATTACTTTTTAAATTTATATACACATTTTTTAACAAACAGTAGTGTAATACACGGGTTTTGTATTATTATTTTTTAAATTTAAGCATAATTTTTTAATAACATCCATAAAATACACAATATTATACTAATAAAATAATATAAAAAAATGTGTACACATACATTCATTTTTTCATATGCAATTTAAGTATGTAAAGTGTACACAGTTGTATAAGTTTTCCATATGCAATTTAAGTATGTGAAGTGTCCAAGCTGTATGCAGCTCGATTTTTAAAGTATGTGAAGTGTCCAAGTTGTATGCAACTCGATTTTTGTTAAGAAATTATGACTTATTGACAAGAAAATGTATATCTTACAACATGAATTTTCTTGTAACCAACTTGTCATTTTAAAATTTAAATGTTTCCTAAATATTCAAATGAGCAATATAAAATATTAGTTGCAAAGTAGTAATATTTGAAATATTGGTGTTACATAAATCTCTTCGATCGAGTAACTAAGTTCTATGACGATATTTTTATTGTAATAACAATTTTTCTCATGTTTGAGGTTGGTAAACTTTGGGTTACTTTGACCATTTTCATATCATTTAAATTTATTTCTCATTTAAATAATATTTATTTAGATCAATCGAGTGATTGAATTAGATTACTACTGCCCAAGTTAGCTTGATTGAATTACTTTTAAGTGATACTTAATATAGTTAAAAAAAATATGACACAACTGAGGTTGATCCCGTGTGACTAATTAGCCAGACCAAATTGAATATTGAAACTAAATTTAAATTTTAATATAAAAAATACTTTATTACATAAATTTAATGTAGTTCAAAACTCTAAATAACCATGATATGAGATACCATACTAGGTCGATTTGACCCAATAAACGGTCTAACCAAACCAAGTGAACCGGCAGTTCGTTAGAAGATCATAGATACAAGAGGTCAAAGAGGCATCAGGTCGTTAGTGACGCTGCTGGCAAAGACTATCGCTGACAGGTTGAGCTAGGCCCTCAGATGATATGGTAGAAACTCGACTTGGCGGTATGTAAGTTGATGTATCGACTTGAAGGACAATACTATTAACAAAGAGGTAATTCAGCTCAAGGAAGGTTGAGTCAATTGTATGATTAGACCGTCTAATAAGGCAAACCAATGAATAAGAAGGAATATCATTAAGATAAGAACTACCCGTGGATTGAACCACGTGGTCTAACAGAATTGGGCAGTTCGGGCACCTGGGCAATACGAACATGCAATTTGGGCACTCGGTCAGCCATTTGGACTGTCTTGAGCAATAAGATTACGCCCCTATATAAAAGGGTGAGGTATGAGAATCCAAACTCAACACACTCTAATGTACTTACAAGCTTACATATTTATTGGTCATCGTATTTTTCACTGAGGACTGACTTGATCATCGTAGTACTAACATGGGAACACCTCCCATTCCATTTGACAAGTCTTTGAACCAAATGTGAGCGGATCCAGGGTAACTCCACCCAGTCGAGGTCGTTTACACACTAAATCATACTAAAAATGCTTTTAGGGCAACATGTTTTATGAATATCTATATATCATTTTATTAATATTTATATGATCAAAATGATATTGTATTAAAATTTTTATTATTGTACGATAAATCAAAGGTTTTCAGAATAGGATCATCATCGAAAGACCAAGTTATTTATTCAATGATTTATTGATTGGACTAAAATTTAATTTATTAATATCTTAATATATATATGTATATATATATATATTATTGTAATAAATGTATATAAAAAATATTAATTAAATATGCAGAATATTTAAATTATTTTAATATTTAAACTAATTGATAAATAATTTATAAATCTCTATTTTATTTATATATGTATTTTTATTTATATAAAAATACTTTTAAGTATAACAAAATTTATTATAACATCGTATCGATCCTATCCGTTCGACCGACTTGTATTAACCGGTTCGCTAGCAAACGTTTTATTAAGCGAACTGAGGCGATTAGTAAATCGGTTTCCCGTCCAACAGTCGATTCCCAATCTGGACGAACTATCTGGTCCTCTATGATTTTGAAAATAATGAATAATTCATAATTAATATTATTTATAATATAATACAATCATAATATTGTTTTCTCGCAAAATAAGTACTAATTTGCTCTTATTATTTCTTGTATAGTAGGAATTAACACATGCTAGAATTCCCCCTTGAATAAAAAATTGTATCGAAGTGTAAAATTATATTTAAAGTGAAAAAAAACTACTTGTATTAATAATTATTAAATTTGGTTACCTGCGGATTTTCTTTTTTTCTAAAACATTTGGGTTTCGATCAAACAACGGAGGAACCAGAAGAGCAGCAGTGGCTTTTCACTTTTCAGCTTCGACCCCTCAAAATTCAAGAAAAATAAAGAGAAATGTAAAAGATCAGAAAGGAGCAAAAAATGAGTTCGTGCTTTAGCCACTCTCCTGTTTGCTATTCCCGCTCTTCCTTCACAACCGCCACGCAGTGTTCTTCCCCATCTCCACTTTCCTTGAGAAATGCACGCACTCACAGAAATTGCAGCACAGCTATGGGCCTATGGCCTATGCACGGCGAGAAAATCTGAAAAACGAAAACTTTCGCGCGAGGAGAGTGATTGTTTTCATGGCTTTTGCGTTGATTCCAATATTGACAAGGAGAGCAGGTGCAATTCAAGACCTTGGCGCAGGTGAGCTGCTGTGTGTTTCTTTNATTTTCATGGCTGTGTTTTTATAAATTATAATCATTTGATAATGGCAAATTAGCATTCATATGTGTAGGTAAATGTAGTTAAGGTATCCTCTGTTTCTCCCATTTCTGTAGTGTTTCATTGCTTACTAAATTATTTGCTTTTGAACTGAAGCTGGAGTTTGTATCTATTTTGGTTTTGGGCTAGTTTCTTTTTAGTTGATTTGATCCATAGGATTATGCCTCAAGTTTATCACATAGCTTCATTGCTCTAAAAGTGGTCTTGTATCTCATATTTGGACAGTCTTCTGCAATGAGCTGAAGCAAACACAAGTTTTATGGTTTGGCTGAAAGTTAGGTTGCTCATTCAAGCCAGATTAATTAGCCTCTGAAGTATGCACAGCATGAGATTGTATTAGGTAACGATTTGGAGCTTTTTCGTTTTAAGTCATATGTGTTGCCATCATAGTAGATTCTATGGAGATAGTTTGACTTTATAATTGGTAAAAATAAATTATAGACCCTCAGAGAGATTAGTGTCTTATATGGTTCAAGTTTATGAGCCGACTTGTGTCGATAGAATGCTATATTTAATTGTCACTTTACCCCTATCATCCAAGTCAAAATTTTCATATAAAAGAACAATGATCCTCTGCATCATTTACTGCATGGGAATTCCACTAAATCGTGTAACAAAGCGTCATAATAATACAATGAGAAATTACATTACAACAAAATCTTGGCCACTTGAAAGAGTTCACACACTTGAACTGCACTAACTACGGACAAAGTTTACCTTCGATTCATGGCAAACAATGAAACAAGAAAAAACTCTAACTTCAACCTAGCCCTTACATTACATATATCCTTAAACGTTGTTTTTTTTGTTATTCTATATTTTCTTTAATCATGGTTGAGCTTTCCAAGAAGATGAAATATCATCCACTGCCTCACCAACAGTCAGATAAACTCCTTCTAAACCGAATGACTCCAAGATTTTCGACTGGTGCAGTTTCTCTGTAACACTTGCAACTGGGTTTGCCAATACAAGCTGCATTGTTATCAAAAGCAGAGTTTAATTAATTATAGTAATAATAATAATAATAATAATAATAATAATAATAATAACAATAAATGAAAGTCTTGTTAAAGATCTTGCCAAAAAGCATGTCTTGAAAAAGTCAGTTTTACCTTGAGCGATTGTCTGTCAAGTTTCTTTCTGAGCTCACTTATGGTATCGAGACCACTTGTATCAATTCCTGTCACGGCTGAACACAATACAAAATGCATTGTTAGGAAAATTATGCAACATTTTGTCTTCATTTATCCTTCTTTCTTATCATGTTTAGATTGAGATATATGGGAGTTGTGAAGTATAGTTTTGACCAAAAAATAAAAAATAAAAATCTATCGACCTCAGAAGTTCAGTCTAAGGTCGATAGTTTTTACAGAAGATTTATGTGCAATATGTAAAAAGAAACAAATATCAAGGCTGGATTTCTGATTTTAAAGAATTATAACCCGGTTCTGTATGTCACTCGGATAAACTCTAGGGGTGGATATATAATTAACTCTTTCCTTTCGCGGATCAGTCACTAACCTGTCATGTCTAGTATAACACATTTTAAACTGCCTCTGTTGTTTGATGCTAGCCACTCTTCCTCCTCTCTTATCCACCGTAATATTCTGCCATTAATCGAACCTCAATCAGACCAAAATCCATATATGCATCAAACGTAAATAATTTACTAATGACCCTCGTTACTTACCTTTCCTGTAAGTAAGTAGAATTCGCGAAATAAATCGGGGCCTCAACTGCAATTATTAGAACATTCGGGATCCTGACAGCTTCTCTGTATCTGATAACATTTTGGTATATTTTTGTCCCTGGAATATTCCCCATAACAACGGTATTTGGCCTCGTGACATGTAATAGAATCTTGAAAACAGAAACTCCAACCTATAAAATTTTGTCCAGTCACTAACATGTAATAATTAGAAAACTTAGGGATATAGTTGCAATAATACGTAATAATTTCTCGAAAATGTCTTAGAAAAAAAGGAGACTCACAGCTATAGCAAGGCCAAGAGGTACAGAGATGAAGAGCACGCCAAAAAACGAACACAAGCAGGCCAAGAAATCGAGCTTATCGACTTTCCATAGCTTATAAACCGCCTCATAGTCGATTAAGCCTATCACGGCTGTTATGATTATGGCTGCCAATATGAGATTTGGAGTGTAATAAAACAGCGGCATGAGAAAAAGTAGCGTAATAAGGACACTCGAAGCCATAATTATGTTAGAGACCACAGTTTGTGCTCCAGCATTGTAATTCACGGCTGACCGTGAAAATGATCCTAAATGAAAAAAAAAAGAAGCAAATAAATAAATAATAATCCGGTAATTAATAGTGGGGAAAATGAATATGCACAGAGATGTATGTGTGTGTGGATATTTATTTACCTGTGGTGACATAACATGAAGAACAAGAACCGGCTATGTTCATTAGGCCAATGGCCATCATTTCTTTGTTACCATCGACTTGATAATTCTTTAGACTTGCAAACGTTCTTCCAACTGCAATTCCTTCCTACAGATTTTACAGTTTGATTGTAATTAATCCTGAGGATTTACTGACATGGCATGGTAAAAAAGTGTCGATTAAACTTACTGTGAGTGAGAGTATTCCGGTTATGATGCCGGTTTTGATTGATAGAGCTAGGTGAGGTCCATGAAAATATAGCATGTTCGAAGAAGGTGGATTTAGACCCTTAGGCAAGTGACCGATCTGTTGAAATAAGTTTTTGTCAAGATTAGACTGAACTCAAATAATAAAAAAGAATTGTCTTAATAATATACCACATTTTAAACCAAATAAAAAAAAAAAGTGTCTTACAGTTTTAATATCTGGGACTTTGGATTTAAGGCAGACAACTAATATGGTTGACAAAACAACCGATGCCAGTGGTGCGGCTGCTGAAATCCAGAAAAGCTTCGGTTTTCGCATGCTCTGCATGGATTAACGAAACTTAATAAAACCAGTAATGTATGAGGAAAATATTGGCCAAAATAGNGGGATCATAAGGCACTTACAATCTGCCTTGTTACTAGTAACAAGACCAGAAAACCAACTCCCATCACAATGGTTTGCCAGGACCACTGCACACACAAAAATTACACTATCTTTTAACATAATTTAGAAAGGGCAAATATATTATTTTTCTAGAAGAGCAAGAAAAAGAAAAAAAGAAAAGCACAAATAACCCTCAGTGTGTAATGGTTTCTGCTTGATAAACAGAGTCCCTATTGGTCGGCTAAAATTTCTCCACGAATTATCGATCTTGACAAGATGTGTACCTCATTCATATGATGAAATACGGAAGATAATACGGGAATTAGTTGCATTTTGCTCGTGAAGTGTACAATCCCGAGCAACCCTTTTAGCTGTTGCAATGAGACGATAATAGCTGCACCAGCCATGAACCCAACTAGAGTCGCCTTTGACAAGAAATCTATGATAAATCCCAATCTTGAAAAAGAAAAACAGTACACAAAAAGTCAATTTGCGGTTGAACCAAAGTTGCATCGAATTTTTTTAAGTTTTCTTGTACTGCACAAAAGAATCCATATTCATATGATCAGTGGATATAGCAAAACGTATACGCATACGAACAAACACTAGAGAAAAAAAAAAAAGCATAATACACTTTTTCGAAAGCCTCCGTTATTCTTTTCACTTATCAAGTCAAATAAGCAAAGTGAAAATTGTTCAGATTCCATCTCAAAGGTTTGCTTGTTTTTATAATCATTCATGCATACAGCATATCAATACTTTATTCGGCTTTCTCTATCTGCAATTATCTTTTTACAACCGTGAACGATTATATTCTTGTGTTACTGAGTAGAACTTCTTCCAAAGGATAAAAAAACAAAAATGTTCCTATTTTGAAAAGTATTGGGACATCGTACTTCTTTTAAAACTATTAGGGAATTAAAAAAAAAAAA